TTGGTCCCAGGCCTCTTCAGGGTCAGGGATGGGCCCTGGCCCCCATCTCTTCTTGTTTGGTCCCCGGCCACTTCAGTGTCAGGAATAGGCCCAGGCCCACATTTCTCCTTGTTAGGGCCAGGCCTCTTCAGGGTCATGAATAAGTCAGAGCCAATTCTTTCCTTATTAAGGCTCAGGCCACTTCAGTTTCAAGAGTAGACCCAGGCCCACATCTCTTCTTGTTAGGGCCCAGGCCTCTTAAGGGTCAGGGATAGGGCCAGGTCCACATCTCTTCTTGTTTGGGCCAAGACCACTTCACGGTCAGGGATAGGCACAGGCCCACATCTCTTCTTGTTAAGGCCCAGGCCTCTTCAGGGTCAGTGATAGGCCCAGGCCCACATCTCTTCTTGTTAGGGCCCAGGCCTCTTAAGGGTCAGGAATAGGCCCAGGCCTACATCCCTTTTTGTTTGGGCCCAGTCCTTTTGAGGTTCAGGAATAGGCCCAGACTCATATCTCTTTTTTGGGGGCAGGTCCTTCTTAAGTTTATGGATATGTCTATGCCCATGTTTCTTCTTCTATTTTATTGGGACTCTTCAGGTTTAAAGGTAGGCCCCAACCCACATCTCTCCTCATTTGGGTCTATGCCAAATACAAAAATATACTTCATTGTTAGGAATCATTTCAGCTCCACATTGCTTTTTGCTTCTGCTGAGCCTTTCATTGTCAGGCTAGTCCTACTCACACTATTTTTTTAAGCTCCCAAGACCTCTTTTATTTGAGCTTCTGGGACATGCCTTCATATCTTACCATTGAGGGTCTGGCCATCCTCAGGGTCAAACATACCAGTTTCTTACAGCTCATGTAGTGGATCATTCTGAATTCTTGTAGATCAAAACACACTTTTACATTAGTGTTCATATATGGTCATCATCTGAAAAAAAGAAAAACAAAACAAAACAATAAACAGGCTTGTGGATAATTATCGAGGATATTATCGGTGTTCTTTTATGGCATGTCATTGACCTGTCCTCAGGGAAATTTGCACAGACACAGACATCTATAGCCCACCATCCAGATGATACAATTTTACATTTTACAAATAGAAAGATCAAATATATAGGGAAGAAGGAGAGTTAGAAAAGATCTTCTTGTTGCACAGCTCACTGGCCATGTGGTGGAGATTGCCCATGAACTCATATGGAATGTTTGGTGCTTCTAAGTTGTGAGGCCCACAAGAGAGTCCCATCAAGACATCATGCTGCATTTTCTTCCTGTGGTACCCTCCCGTGAAGGAATATCACAGGGAGTTACAATAGAGGGTAGTCCTCTGTGCATCTTGAGGATGCCTTGCTAAGGTACTGGGGGCTGTGTAGATCTTCACAAGGCCTCTTTCCCTGATTTGGATATGCTGTCTTGTCCCTGTGTGTCATGCATGGACCTACGAGGATGTCTCTCTGGTTTTTGGATTGCAATTCTTCTGAAGATCACATCTGTCTTTTCCATTAAAACCCCTCAGACACTGAATTGTGCCTTCAAAATGCCCCTCCAGAAATCCCCTGCCAACTACATACACTGGTGTGAGATCACTTCTTCACCTAAAGAATTTTTCTGAAGTCACTTACCTGAAGTACATCTCTGCCCATATTCTCCTTGGTTCAAATCCCTGCCTACTCTGACTCTGCTGCCCTTAGATATGGGGCACACCTTTAACCATGACAGTGGCCCCTATGTGAGGTCACAGAGGCCAGGCCTCACTGTTTGGGAAATCTCAAGGGCTGTCCAGGCGCATGGGTACATTTTGGGCTAGTACTTATGGGAAGTATCTGAAGGCATCTTTTATGACCATTTCATGGGAAGAAGCTCAGACCCAGGCCTCCTCATCCTCTAGGGAACTTTACCCCTGGGAAGAACAAGTCCAGTGGGGATGAGGTGTGCACACTCAGCCCCGATGTGCAAAGTGTAACTCTTGGTTTATCATTTCTGATGCCCTGGTTATCAGCAAGTTTCTCTCATCATGAAACTTGGAGTGTGCTGTCTCCTGGGCCCTGGGTACCAAACTGATTAATAAATTGTCCTGCAGCCTGTTCTCTCGCCACCATTAAACCCAGCTTGAAGTAGGATTGCCCAGAAAGCAGGGTGTCATGAAATTTCTGTACCTGGATGTGCAATGATAGTCGATGACCTCTGAGAGTGTCACTCACTGGAGAACAGCACAACATCAGAACTTCATCCTGTACCAGTCGGCAGCACAGGCTGGGGGTGGCCATCCCTGGGCCTCATCGTCCGATGAGTTGTGGGTGTCATTCCCTTATTTTGACAATTTCTTGGCACACATTCCACTGATACTGCAACTTTTTTTACTGCTATAGCACAGGTCCTGTTAAAGGTCACCTCGAGGACCACATTGTGCCCCACACATTACATCCTCCCACTTTTCAGTATAACACACTGTT